CCCATCCAGCGCTCTCCTTCCGTTCGCCGCTGTCCACAATACTCCAAAGTGACGACTATAGTGAGTGCCCCATCTCTCCCCAAAAACTCTACCGGCAGAGGCTGTGCGTTGCCTCCCTTATCATTAAAAAAGGATATACAGAAAAAACGACATTTCCTGGTGGGCAAAAATAGTACGGTAGGAAGAGCTCTGCAGCAGATGCAGTTAGGAGGCAGAGGGAGGAGGCGGCAACAGCAGCAACGCGCACACACAGAGGCGTGGAGAGGAGAGGCGCTGCCGAAGACACACCCCAGGGAGCGGTGAGATGGAGGGAGGGCATGAAAGAAGGAGGAGGGAGGAAACGCCACCCCGATGTCTTCCACCAGCGGCCCACAGGAGCAAACAAACCAAACACCAGGCTCATAATTTATGGGCGAGTTAGAGCACTACTTCAACTTTACTTCCGTGGGCAGTAGATGAATCCTTTATTTTACAGTTCACAGGGGACAGCAGTGCTTTAGGCATACAGCCAAGCAGGGTTTATGGGAAGTAATACTTACTTGTATAAAAATATGACAGAAAAAGCATTCAAGAACTACAGTATAATCAGCTCTTTTAATTAAGCACATTTGGCATTTGACTCCTACTGTGCGTATTTATAAAAAGCTTGCAACATAGCAAGGTGGACAGGGCCTATAGAAGGAGATATACTGGAGTTGCAGGAAATTAACAGTTTTGACAAATTGTGCACATATAAAAAGGGGACAAATTGAGGTTGAAAAGGGAAGTACATTTAGGTTGAAGCCATTACCATTTATTAGGTTACCTTTTCCAAATAAACTAATCAAAAATTAGATTTGTGTATGCACAAGATGATCCAATTCAATATTACTAAGACATCCAATATTCTTTATGTGCATTCATTACTGCCAGAGTTTAGAGCAAGCAGCAGAAATGCAACAGTTGTGATTTGCAACATAAATTTCCTACTGAAGGTCACAATTTGCACACACTTTGATCATGGAAGACATCAATGCATTATTAAAGTGAGACTTAATGGTTTTCTTCAGTTATGTTCTCAAAATAGCAATTATTTAAACACAGTTGTTAAAAGTCTAATCAGACATTTAAATGTCTGTAGATCTCACAGGTAGCTTCACCTTTCTCTTCAGCTTCTTTTGTTGCATGTACAGTACAGGAGAACCAAGAAGATACAGAGATACTTTTTGGTTTGCCTCAAGATAAGTAGGGTTGTGTCGTTATTTAAGGCAGTCATCTGAGTCTTTAGAACATGATTGATTCCTGTGAATAATGAAACGGGCATTGTTGAAAAAGTAGTGTAATAATAGTCCGTGAAAGTCATTGTTTGTGCAGGTGTCATGGTGTAAGAATGAGAGGAAGTAGGGGAAGTTGAGAAAGAATGAAGTGAAGGGGGGTAGTACAAGAAAACTGAATTTTCATGACTTATACAGGTGCAAGCGTCTGCAACACAGTTCAAGATCCAAAACTCCATAGTCACTCCGACAAAATTCCAAACATCATCATCCATTACTGTCTAAACTGCTTACAGTGCATGGCAAAAAAAATTACATCGACTTAAAGCTCCTCACATTCCCCCAGATGATGCCAGAGTGATGCCATTTTGAATACATCATTTTCATAATAACAATTTGCATCACCCTGAGGTTGGCTTTCCAACTGAGTTTCATGAATAATACAAAATGACTGACAGATGCAGCACTGCGACATCTCTGTGCTTACTCAAATTTCTATCTATATAGATCACATCTCTCATTAGCAGCTTTGCTAACGCATATGACGACTCTGGCTGTACGGTTTACTGCTCCGCTTTAGGACTAGAGGTAATGTCCCGCTCTAAAGATGCCTCTGAACTTGAAAGGCTGTTTACAGTTGTTCCCTTCTGGGAATTCACTGTGCTCCTTTCTCCCCTCCAAACATTTGAAGAATTTACGAAAAAAAAAATATCTGAGGACTTCCAGCAGAGAAATTTATTCAAGTCATTGAAATATTGGTTTCAATTGTGTAACACTTTGTTTTTGAATAAGGGGTTATGGAGAATTCCTGTGAGATTTGCTCTAGAGTACAACTGCTTCCCAATTAAAAAGCTAACACAACAGTGGAAATTTCCACATTCAGCATGGGGAAACAGCATACTGTTCACAGTTGTTGTATTCCTTACCAAATCAGTCTTGTATAAAAAAAAAAAAAAGTGAACACATCTAAAACAGCATCCATACATTAACTATGCATCACATAATGGCATATTACAAAATATATAATCTTACTACTTCTATCAAATTAAACTTGCATATAGAATCTGTAATCAGTTCCTAGGCATTAAAATGTGATTTTCTTAGGGTTTTGCTAGCGGTTCTGGTGGGGCAGGGAATATATACACTATGCTCTTGAGAATATACATTATAATGCCTTTTTGATCTTATAAATCGCTGTAGTTCAAGTCCCCTAAATGCTAGTGTCTGTGATTGGGTCAGGTCCCCTTAGATCACTACCCTGGATGAATGTCCACTGGGGTCAGGTAATGTTCATCTTGTTAATATCTCACCTATCCTTGTCCCGAAAGAGAAATCATTTCATCTGGTCAAGTGATGGGTGGCTTCATGTGCTCTTCTCTTTCCTGTGATTCCACTGTTTTCCTGTCTCTACCATAAATACAGCTGACATTTAAGAACACATGTTCAAAAAGCTGCTGGTTCTTTTGCTCGCCTACATTACTTTGTGAGCAAAAACGATTGCAAGCTCCAATACTGTATTGAATATTACCTTCTGCATAATATTAAAAATCAATGTCCTCCCTCACTGCTGGCGTCTGCATTCGAGCATCTCCAGGGAGACACCATTTACAAAGACAGATGAGCACAGCTCTCCTGGATGTGTAACCTTGTGCACATCCAGAGAGAGACACATCACTCCTGTTGTCACTGTGAATACTTTTCTACAGCATGGCAAACGCCAGTGTTTGTGTTCCTGCACATCGACGGGGCATATTCTCAGAACAAGCATAGGCATATTCTGAAACTGTACAGCGCTCAAAATACTGGACATCAACTACTCCTCATACCAAAACAGTGGAACACATTTTATACTGCCGGGTGTTTTTCCTGTTATACATCTTCATCTTTTCCTGAATGTGTGTAAAACCACACCCTATGAATGGACTCTTGGCATGGCCCCAGTCCAGCTCTATAAAAAAGGGGTTCACCAGTTTTTACCAGTTGTTCAGCGGGAACCTTAGTAGTATTGCTGCCCTAGAAAAGCACACTGTAAGTGCCCTACCTGCCACTATTGACCTCTAAATGGAGGCAAGGACTTCACAGAGCACAGAGAGCTTTTTTCAGACCATTATTTGTTGGTTCCACATCAATTCTGATCTTCCTTTGATGGGAAAAGTCATCACTGTGAATTGCTTCTCCAGAGTTCTCCAAAGTTCCTGTCTTGTCATCATCCACTACTTCATGGGGTTCATCTCTGTGCTGGCACTGAGTTCATCTTATTCCTGTGAAGCTTTCTTTTCCCTCAGTGCCACAGCATTTTCCCTCTTGGCATTCGCCTCTCAGTTAAACGAGTGATTGAAGAGGGTTGGAGAGGAGAAGCTATATTGTACTGCGTGGCTACATTCAATCCATCCACTTAGAAATTCCAGCTCTTGTGGGATCAATGCACTTGTAAATACTCGGCAGGTCTTGTTCACAGGGAAGTCTCCATCTGAATTTCAGGGGGGTTACCTGTCAAAGCACAAACTAGAAGTGGGGGCACCTGCTGCAGAGGAGAACAGGAGATCTTGTTAGGCAGCAAGTCCACTTCTAAAGAAGAGCTGGAGCTGCCTCTTTGATTGCCACATCCAAACATTCTTGACAAGACTGACCGCTGAGGCAGAGTTGGAATTTATTAACATTTTCTTCAGTTTTGCGGCCAGTTTTTCACTTTGTTTTTTCAATGAGGTTATGTTGGGGGTCAGGGGATATTCATGGGCAAAGGAGTTTTGAAATCAATGAAGATATTATAGCCAAAGCCAACTGTTAGTTATCTCATAGCCTACCAGACAAATTAGCTTTTTCAGTAAATATAAGAAATTATAGTATATATTTACTGCCATAGTACATTACACATAGTACAGAATAGAATGCA